AAGAACGTACTTGGCCAATGACAGGTAAAGATTAAATCCTGCATCATGCTGAGTTCCCAGAATTGAAAGGATTACATTATTTCTAGGTAATTTTAACGGCACTGAGAGATAGAGTTTTAAACTTACATGGTCCTTTTCATACTAAAAGAGTCCTGGAGCACTTTACTGGCAGAATTTGATACAGAAACTGTCCATAGAGATAAAATACGGCAACTGAGCGATGGCACCGGCAATAAAAGTGAAAAAAAGCTTTAAACTGTGAGCACCGGGGAGGGGGGCATCGAGGCAGACGCGCATATGTGCCTGCCCATGTCGTACGCCCTGGCGGGAGATGCAAGAAGGAGCGTTGATTTCCAAATTTCATCTGAAAGCTCTGAAATGCCCCCGCGTGCCCACCTGACCGGGTGCTGGCCTCCGCCCGGGCCAGCCTGCTCCGCTTCCCCATCTTACTTCCCCCGTGGGGAACGCGGGCACCGGTGGTGCCCCCACCGCCGGGCGAACCTGGAAGTCTTCCCCCCTCTGAGTCAGTCCTCTCCTCCTCCTCTGCCCTTGGTACGTGGCTGGTATCAGGCTCCGGGGGTTTTCTGCGTCTTGCAATTGGAAAGAAGCAAGACAGGGCAGTGGTGACGAGGGACAGTGGATCACGGGTGTCCCCTCGGCGATGTGGCTGTCCTCCTGCCTCGTCTGCCACCTCCTGCCCGCCCTGCTGGCATCACCACAGCGCCGAGGGGAGGGCAGGATGCAGAGGGAAGGCTGTGCGCGGGCAAAAGGTGCTGAGAAAATACCAGAAAGGTCTGGTTGCCCTGTGGTGGGGTGGGATGGAGCTCAGGGCTTCCTTTGGCCACTTGCATCTTGCCTGTGGCAGGGAGCTGGAGCCTGTGCCAGAGGCAGGAGTCCTGGCAGAGGAGCGCCACGCGCCCGCGTGCCGTCCCAACCTCTTCACCAAATCGCAGGGGAGCCGCTCCTACCTGGGAGCCCGAGAGCATCGCCCCCCCGGGCGGCTCGGAGGGCACCGTCAGCTTTGGCTGAGCCACACCAGACACCTCGAGGAGGTCCCCGCCGTTGCCCCAGCTTTAAGCCGGGCTGGGGTGGCGGTTAAGGCGCGTGAGTGAGTGCGGGGCGAGCCTGCAGCTCTTGCACGCCACGGCTCCTCGCCCAAAACTTTCTTCACCGCTGTTCTCGGGAACACGCGGAGTGGAAATAGAAGCTCCGGCCAGGGAGTTTCCACCCCAAATTGGTAATGTTTGAGTCGTGGCGATGAGATGCCAAAAGAGTAGTTGGGGGTTTTTTTTGTTTTTTGGTTTTTTTTTTTTAATTTTAATTTCTTCTTTCTGGAAAGTCGGCTGTGTGTATGTGTGGTTTGGTAGTGGGTGTGGTGACCCCGGCACTGCACAAACTCATGCTCAGCGACGTTGCTAAG